CTAAAACAATTTTTTTACGTTTGAAGTTGGAAGAATTACAAAAATCGTATTACAGAAGATTTTAATATAATATAGAAAGTCACAAAATTCATAATTTTTTTTTAAAAATAACTAAGAGGCTTTACTGACTGGGCGCTCTACGCGCCAACCCGCTTATTTCTAACAATTATTTGATCTAAATAAAATAATTAAATTTTTAAAATAAGTCCAAGCTCAAACGATAAAATGATCTTGATTAGCTTTAAGGGCGCTAGATGTAGCCAGCGCTTGTCTTCTCAATCTCATGTGTACATTTACATGTATCGCCTTTCGTCACTTAGGACCAATCAGATCACGACGTGTTCTATCGAAAGTCATGGAATACTGATTCTTTTGGGATAGATAACTCTTAGATTAGAAAATTCATTTTGTCATCCATTTAACGTATAAATGTTTAAAGTTGATTTCTTATAACAACGTAAAAACACTAAAGAATCGATACTCTATCGATAAATTTTTTATGTGTTTTTAACTTAATGAACGGCAACTAAAAAAATATTTTTAAAATAATATGTCAACAGAATAACAAACCTTTCATTGCAGACGGACCTACAAGGATAAGACAGAAGTTTTTTTATACTAATCCTGAAATAATTTTTTCATTTTTAAGTAGAAAAACTCTATCCCTGGCTTGGATTTGCATTGCATTTAATTAACTTCCAAAAAATGTAACCAACAAAAGAATTTTATTTATTTTTTCTTATTATGGGCACAAAATGCAACTGCTACTTTGTGCGCTTGGGCCACACTTAACGCTCTTGTAATCACTGTAAGCCTATGAGCAGAAAGATTTTTTGCGCTCTTCGGGCCCAAAGTGATTTACTGGGCGCAATATTGCACTTGGCGCCCTCGGTAAGAAAAACATACGCGACTCAAGCACCAACATGCAACAACCGCACCCTTCAGGTGCTGATGTTTCTACTTTGTGCTTTAGTGACGTTATGTACCATTAGATTTAGTGAATAATAGAACCATTTTAAAAAGATCAAAGTAAAAGGAAAGAAAGTGGGAAGGAGTATATTTATTAGTAGTGAATAAGACTTGTATGATTCTACAAAAAAACTTTGTAAATATATGAGAAGACAAACTAAACACAAAATAATTATGTTTTAAACTCTTACACTGAAATTAAATGAAATTCACCGAAAACTATAGTAATTATTGAATTAATGTTAAGGAGAATAAAGTTAAGTTTTAAGAATATCAAATTTAAATCAAATCCTTGAATATGCTTGAAAATAATTCTTTTAATT